TGTGGAGCCAGTAAAATTAAAACGAGATTGGTAAATAAACAGTGAAAAAGTCCACACGGGTACATTTTGAAGGATGTCAGCCCCTCTCGCTACCACTACTGTCTTTGCATATCATTGTACTGCAGGACCTGGAGGATAGAGAAAGTGACAAGCAGAGAACACCAGGAGCCGTAAACAGCCCATTTCTGGATTCCACTTTACCTCTGCAACTAAATTCCAAAAACCAAACCCAGTGAAGCATCTCCATCAGTCACATGGAAACCTTTATTTATTTATATTTCCATTGGACTGCTTATGTTTTATTCATCTCATTTTCACCATGTAGTTATGATTTTTTTTCTCCCCCCCCCCCTCACCTCTTCTCTCTCAACTTCATTTTCTCACACGGGAAGGAACTATTGCTTGTTCAGGCGAGCGTGAACAGATGCCGGCACCGGTTGCCTGTGCTTACAGAAGGATCCATCCTCACGCTTTCTTGGTAAATTGAAGAGAACGCTCCCACTCCATCCAGTTTAACCTGAGTGGTAAAGCCCTGTAGCAAAGCTGACTGCACCTCTGCTCTCCAAAGCAGCTCGGTGCCACAGCTCCGACAAAAGGAGGATGAAAGTCAGCGCTGCTGGGCCATAAGTGGAATCACCGAGAGGTTCACATACTGTCTGACCCCCGGAGCTGATCTGATATCACCGCTCGCAGCTGATCCTGCTAATGTGGCGGGAATTATTCACTGTCTTTCCCTCAGTTCGGCCCTCGTCTCACAAAGATTAGCGCTGTTGTGTGGGAGAGTCAAGGTTAAAAAAAAAATATCTAATCAAGTTTACAAGATTATTTGTGTGGGTAAACAAATTAATTCTGCACTGAATGTGCTGCTTCACTGGAGGAAATTTTCCCACGTCACGTTAGCTGTGAAATGCCAAGAATAAAACCACACATCTCCTTTCTCAGGGGTGATAATGACATAATTGTAAGGCCATCCTGACAAAATGGTCGTTCATCACGTCTTATTATGCTCTGGGAAGAAATTTAAGATGGCAGCATCGATTTGTTTCGAGCACAAAGAGTGTGATGTTGGAGGAGCTGATTATCTTAATGAAAGGCTGATTCTGCTCTCTTAAGATGGGGAGGATCTTTGAGTTTAACCACACTGCTCAGCTCTCTTCCTGTGGCTTTTTGCAGCTGCAATATTTTACAGGAGTGCATGTTTGACTGGCATTCCTATTAGACAGTGAAACGCTGCGGAGAACGAATCGTCAAAAAATAACTTTCAATGTGAGGCTGTTTAATTGTCTCTTGTTTTTTAACTTGGCCTCTGATGCCCGTTAGTAATTAGCTGATTAATCAGATCTGACGACTTGTCAAGTTTCCCTCTGGAGAATTCTGATCTGAATTTGAATGAGGAGAGGTATTTTGCTAAGAAAAAGCCTATTACACCAAGTCAGATTTTATTTATATAGCCCAATATCACAAATCACGAATTTGCCTTAAAGGGCTTAACAATCTGCACAGCATTAGGACACCTTCTGTCCTAAGAAGCTCACCTCTCTTGTTATAAATCCTCTCCCTACCCTCGCCTCCTGCTCTTCTCTTTCCATCAGACTTCCTTTTTCACCTTTTTTTCTGAGAATGAGGATTGATTAAAACAGGAGAGTGGTTCATTAGATTCTGACAAGCGACACCATATCTGCAGAACACATGTCCTTGGAGAAAGCCGTCTTAGCCCATGTGGCTTACCGTAGTCGATGCCATCTCCACAGCAAACACTATCCCCAAACTAATTGAAACAAGGTGCTTCGCTGGCCCGCTATCTGCCGGGGTGACAGTTATGCGGCTCTCGCAAATCCGTCCGTGAAAACTGAGGAGCTTGATTAAAATGTGCCTTTCTTAAGTGCTCCATCAGTGTTGTTTCCCAGTGTGGGAAAATAGCTTTTCTGTGATACAAACAAGTTGTCACGGACATTTTATCTTCCACTGACACTGGAAGCAGGGTTGTCTCCCTGGCAGGTGTATATTGCCGTGCCAATCTAAAAATCTACTTCAAAATGAAAACAAAAAGTGCTACTGCCAAATCCATGCATAATGTAGCTAGTGGTGTTTACACAAATCTTGGTCTTGATGGTGACAAAACTATGTACAATGGTGGGATGAAGGGCTTGATAGCTTCTTTAAGTGTCTATTTGTCATTGCTCTGATAGAGTTTACTGAAGGCTAAAAAAAAACAGCTATGATGGCTGAATTATTGACTCTAGAAACACACAACTCTCCTGAGTGCCTCTAAATCCAAAGACTATTAAAATGTGCCCTTTAACAAGGAAACAAAATAATTATTTCATGCTCTGATATTGTCAGCCCTGGTAGCTCTGTGAGCTGCTGAACAAATGTACTGCAGCTATCAGTTTGGTCACCTTCCTTCTCTGCAGACAACACTTGGCTAGAGTTTACTGAGGCCCAGTGCTGCAGCCTTGAACAGCGGCCAGCAGTGGGCTCTCTCACCTGCCATGTCTGAGCCGCGCTTGTCCAAGACTGTTGGGAGGCACAAAGATGCTCTTTGAAGTTAATGAAGCATCAGCATACTTCTCTACCTCCACCACCCGGTCATTATGCACAGCCAATGTCAAGGCTGCACAGAGCACTTCAAAGAATTAGTAGGTAATGCCATGCTCACCCTCGAGTTCACCTCTAACAGTTTATTCATGTCATCATAACCGATGCGAAGTCCACCACGAGCTGATCTACAGTCATAGAAATCTCCTCCAAACTGAAAGATTTCTTTTACACGTGTACATGAAGCTTAATGGCGTTCAGTGGCGGTGTGAGAGATTATGCTGACATGCCCACATTAAGACAAGGATAGGCTAGCATTTCACAACGTCAGCAAGGAGCACAGTGTATGATCCTATTGTAACATATCCATGTTGCACCTGCATGAGACGCAAGGGCAGGACAGCTCTGCCCCTGTCTGTACACGCCGCTGCACCCGGCTCTCCATCCTACAGCACCAAACCATACTAACGTCTGACAGTCGAGCTGTTTTGCAATTTGACTGGGCGCCATGTTTGGAGCTGAGGCTCTGAACTGTGGAGGGGAGGACTGGCTCTCCTCCCTTTAACTTGTCACTGTTACTATGGGAACTGGCAACATGCTTTTACGGCTCGTATGGGACCCTTTGGGATTGCATCCTAAACAGAAATTCATGTCTAACAATATAGAACGACACTTGCATCCAGCCAACCTATGACTACAAAGGAACAGACCACCAAGTGCTTTGTGACTATATATATACTGTATATACTTAGGATATGTTCTGGCATGAGGGCACTTACAGTATAACTCCAAATATCAAGGATGGAGTTATTTCAGGCAAAGGAAAAACACTTCAAGTCAGAATTATGTCTCTGAATGAGACGTAGAAAACCAAGGCATAATGACAGGAAGTAACAACCATGTCGAGCTGAGAACCACAGAATTAAAATCAGTCATTGCATTTCCTTTAATCTACTGCTGAACATTTTTCTCAAAGTTTAAAAAAAATAAAAAATTTTAGATTTCAATTTTGTATGCAGACAAATTGAAACTGAACACGCTCAAATTATGTACCCACGCACTGCTCACCTCAGTCACTCCATAAAACTATACGGACAAATGATGAGAATAAACAGAAGGACTACTGGGACAATAGCAGTGTGGTTTGTTAATTTAAGCAATCAATGAAAAAGCAGAAATAGAAAATGACTTTAGTGCCATTGTTTTGCCTTTCAAAAGGGATACAGTACTTTATGCTTGGCAGTACAATCTTTTCGGAACACAATTACTCAATACAAGCTGGTGCAGGGTGATTTCCTGAAGGTAGATTACTTCCTCACTTTCCTGTCTGATAAGTAAAGGCTGTTCAAGCCCCTTTTGAGATCTCTATTATCACACCACTAACCCGCCTACATTGGATGCAGGTGCTGACATCACATCCTACAAAGCCGCTTTGTCCTAGCCTTACCCTTAACAGTAAGAATAGCACGCTGAATGAGAAGAAACAGAAAAGAAGGTATGCAATGATACTGTAAGGCACAGCTGTTCACTTCACAGCAAGCACAGCGTTCCCAGAGACACAACATGAGTCAACATGCAAAGCAATGCAAGTTAGAACACCCCCGCTTCCCAGAAACCCAGCAGCACAGAGAGTCAAGGGGGGAAAATCTTACCATTCTGACCAGAGCAAAACTGTGACAGTCTCCCAGTACCACACACACACACACACAGCTTGTACCAATAAGAGCAAGATCCCCACATCTTGTATACGTTTGTAGGAAGGGCTTTGAGAGCAAAATATCGTCTCCTATGGATAAGAACCCAGAGGAACCACAGTGCGTGTGTGCCAACAATTATGTGGAAGGCAAGGGAACTGAATCAGTTTTGTTCAGCATTTTGTTTTCCCCAGAAGACAGACGAAGAGGAGACAAAAAGAACGAGCGCAGAGCTCAACTGCGAAAGAGGCACGGGCTGTTTGGAGAAATGTGAGCGTGATGCGAGCAAACTATGATCAATACAGTACCCTCACCTCAAACCCCCATTTTGCTTGATGTTATTTTAGGTGCTGATAATAGACCTGCTTTATATCACTCCCACGCATGCGCCTGGGTGCGTAACAGGGCAGGCTGGGAGGGAGCGGCTTTTATGTTCTCACAGTGTGTGTGTGCATGTGTGTGTGTGTGTGGAGTTCTCATACACAAACACAGAGGCTTTTTTTTTTTCTCCTCTAACCTTCCACACGGTGCAGTAGGGAGCCGCACAGCTCGGGCAGGTGGGAACCACATCGAAAACATAGGCGGTCTGCTCCAATCACCCGGTCTGTGCTTGTGCATGGATGCTTGTGTTTATTTGTGCGGATGGGGGTCTGATGGTCCCAGACAACATTTTTTTTTTTTTTTTTTTGTAGGGTATTGTATTGATGCAGGCCATGCCAGACTCACTGAAGAAACAGAGAACGGAAAAGACTGCCGCAGACAACCTACCTGTGATGTTGACGTCCACGATGCCAGTGCGAGTCCCGATGCCGTTGGTAGCGTCGCAGACGTACGTGCCGGCCAAGTCGTAGGTCACCGGCCCCTTGAAGAACAGGGTGTTGTTCTTGATCTCCACATTACTGGGCAGGGAGCCGTTCAAGCTGTGGAGAGAGAGAGAGAGAGAGGCAATAATACAGACACCATAAAAAGGCGGAATTACACCAGACCACAGAAAAAAAAAAAAAGAAAAATCCCTCTCCCAGGAGCAGCAAAGCAATTCAAAGCGCATGAAAAATACAGTCTCTAGTGCCAAACAAACCTGAATGTGTGTGTGGGGGTGAGATAAATACCAGGAATATTTGACAGCGCTATATTTCAGCCGTCATCCATCAAGTCCAAACAAAATTATGAGGACAGGGAATCCCAGCAGGTCCAAACAGGTAAGACATAGCTGATGCCTGAGGACACTGAGGGTTTTTTTGGCATGTGAAATACAAAACAGACAGTGGTGGTGGGGTTCGTGGTGGTGGTGGTGGTGGTGGTGGTGGGGCTTCCTTCCTAAACTACAGCACAGCTCACATGGCTGAACTCAAAACTCAGGGGAGCTGTCAAGAGAGGCAAGTGATCAAGCGATAAATGCAGAATCTACCAAATGCTGAGCTGTCAATGGGAACTGGAGCCTCTTTCTCCTGCCCGAGATGTTTGTCTTCATGGTTCGCCGTCTCTACCGCGTTCTGACCCGCTCGTGTCCTTTGATCAGGTCAGCACACTTTGAGGTCATGGATCATGAGCACACCAACCACTCCATTCTATTATCTAAACCCCTTTTATGGAGCCCGGAGGCAGACAAAAAAAGAAAAACGGTATCAAATTGCGTCGCAATTAGCCATTTCCTGTTGCCTCCCTGTCGATAAGCCTCATCAGCTGCTCTGAATGGATCCAGCGCAAGTAAAGCTACAAACACGACAGCGATAATATTAAACAGGTCTCTGGTCCGATTGTGGTGAGCTGCTGCTGGGTGTTGGTGGCAGTTTTGGTTTCTTCAAACAATAAAAGATGCTGCAAAGACTCCTGGGCTCGCTCTCCGTCAGTGAAACACTTTGAGATCCACTGGTGCGTGAGAACATTAAAAACAATGAAATGCTCCATTTATTATAGTGAAAGAAAAACAAAATGACATTACACAGGCAACAAAATTAGACCCCATGCTAACAATGGCCACACATCAAGCACTTAAGCTACACTAAACAGGCCTTCAATAACAGCCTCTTCAGCGATAGGGGGAGAGAGAAACAGTGACGGGTTATTTGTTAATTAATCAATCATAAAATGTAAAATACAAACAGCTGGTCCATGTGTGGTTAAATTAATTCCACAGGGAGCATTTTCAGGACACGGCGGTATTAAAAAAAAAAACAACTAGATTTTTCTCTATGAGCAACAAAGTGCTCATGGTTCAGAACAAAAAGTAATAAGAAGAGCTATGGTTGAGTTGTTTTTCATTGGCCACCGGTGTGATGGGTTTGCAATGGAGCTGCAAACAACCCTCAATACAGTATGTCACGATTCAATAATCAGTTACCTTGTGAGCCTCTATCAAATGCTGTTCTGCAAAGCCCAATTGATTTGCTGCAGAAATGAAATGCTAGCAAACTGCGATTCACCACAGATTCAGCCACAACCAGAGATGTCTGCATTTGTATGACACATATGAATGTGTGTGTGTGTTTGTGTGTGTGTGTGTGTGTGTGTGTGTGTGTGTGTGTGTGTGTGTGTGTGTGTGTGTGTGTGTGCACGGAGCCTGAGGGACATCAAAATGAAAGGCTAACAAACAGCTTGAGAGGGATGCAGATTCTTTGAGGACTGGCTGGCCTGCGCATGTGCATGCATTTATGTGATGTGTGTGTATAGATGTGGGTGACTCAAAGACTCTATACATCAACCCAGGATCCAGATTTCACTTTAAGCGGCAGGATGTTGTGGAGATGGCTTCAAACTTGAATGTAGAAAAACATATATATGTGCCCCAGGCGCCAAAATCTGAAATTTCACTATTATTTGTATTCAGGTCTCAAAAAGACAACTTATTAGAGGAGATTATATTACATATTATATTCATTAAAAGAAGGAATAAAGAATGCTCTCTGGACTTCAAACTAACAAGTAAGTGGCATTAAAGGATGGTGTCTTTTAATCAAACATCCATCTGTTTAGTTGGCCTGAAAAGCTTTTGAACATTCATGTTTAATGTGGGATTTCATTCTGTTGGAATAGCCACAGTGTTTCCCTAATATGCATTCAGATTATGCGCGCTGCTGCTGAAATTCCACATGGTTAATTAATATTCATGACAAAACGTAACCTGGAGCTAGTATGAAACGAAGGGGATCCTACCACACACCCACAAACAAATACAAGCACGCACAGTGTATGCACATAATACCTGCACACTTCCCCCGATTACTCACGTCAAGTGTCTAATTAAACAGATACAGCTATATAGTACGACAGAGTACCGCATCACTGACATCTGTAGGGAATATCACCGAACCTTGTGGAAATACTGCACATCCGTGGGGTTGGTACGCCATGTGATCAGAATATGAATAAAACTATTTCGATTCATTTGTGAACACAAAATAAAAATTTGTGCCCGAGTCATTATCGAGAAATTAAATATTAAAATTTTAAGCAAATAACTCAAAAGTGGTCTAATTTATTTGTACATCATTTGTGCACATTTGTGCAAGCAAAACAAACATCTGCGCTTCTCACAGTTCTCACAATTTATTAATCTGGTGTGTAATGCTCATAACTTGAGAATTAATGAAGCAAACATGTTTGTTTTGCCTGCACAAACCTGCACAAATGATGTGCAAATGAATGAATTGCCACTTTGGAGTCATTTGGACATGAATGAGGTGCTGAGGCCTGCGCTTAAAAATATAATGTTTAATTTCTCACAAACAGTGCGAGCACAATTTTTTTTATATGGGGTGCAAACTTCAAAGAGGTACAAACTTAAACTAAACTGGTGTAACTTTGTCCTGCACACTCAGCATTTTAGTCAAAATACATATGAATTTCCAGACTTCAGAGTCTGAAAGACTGGCTCATTAAGTTTATGTTATGAGATTATCTATGTGTTGAGGCATTTCATTCTATGGGATTTATTTCTACAGCGATCTGGGCCTCCAGAGCCCTTCAACTGTCAAAAGCTGCTGGGAAATTGAACATGAATAACTCCATCTGTAACGGTTCTAAGGCCGTTTTCAGCTATCCCTCCACCAACGCACGTAAATAAGTGGCAGGATATAACGCGCTTAGGGAAGCGCGCACAACAGCCAGGCTTCTGAAATCCTGAGGGAAACAATGACCCAGAGACAACATTAGCAATATTTAGTAACTGGTTATGTTAAATAAAAAGATGCATCAGCCTTTGAAGCCTCTGCGGTGTCAGGACTGGCTGCTCTGATGCTTGAGAACAAACCTGACTTATATAATTTAAAGGGGAATTAAGTAACGTGAGTTTTATCCACAGCTATTAGTGACCGAGGAAGTGAACCAACAGTTCTCTCTGGCGGCTTTTAATCGGCATGAATAATAGAATCACATTTTCAATAGAGATAAGTAAGCTAGCTAATTAGAGCAGAGTTTGAGGTAATCACACTGCGAACAGCCGTAATAACAATAATACTGACGCTATTATTTATAGCATCCCATATCTGCGAGCAAGTCAAACTGTATCATGCTAACGCTGGAAAATGGCTTTTCAGGGAAACAAAGGAAAGGAACGTATTAAGTCTGAAATCTTAAAACACAAGTAATTGAGTTACTTGTGATAATAAACAACTCTGCAGCCCTCCCTTCCCCCCACTAACTATTCCTAGGCCTGTTGAAAGCTCCAATACAGCAGGGCGAGTCAAAAATGCCCTACAAACAAACATCTCAAAAACAAACACTATAGTTCAAACAGGTTGTGTCCTTTTTTTACTCTCGTCTGCTGTTTCACTGCAGCTCCCCATTAACCCATTTTGAGAAACAGCTTTGGCATTGTGCTCTAAGAAAGAACAAAAGAAAAAAAAATCAAAAGGTGTTTGGATTGTGTATATGCCAAGGCTTTATGCACACTCCACACACACAATGCAGAGAAACATGAACAGAAAGTTTGAAAAAGTGATTGCTGATGTTACAAATAAAGACTTTTTTTTCATTTTAGCTGCTGCAATAATGCAAATGATTTAGAAAAAAAAAACTTCTCTGAACTCAATGAATAAGATAAACACTATAACAATTGATTGTCTATGGAAATAATGTGGATCTGTATCAAAGTCATTAACATTTATTGGATGTGGCTACACCTTTACCGCACGTGCGCGCGGGTGTGTGTCTGTGGTTAAGTGTGACGCAATCCTGCCGGCCTGTTCCGGATCGTTCCGTCACAGTCCTGTGCTGACCTCCACACTGGAGCCCTGGGGAACCTTCACAACAGATTTGGCATCTCATTTTCAGTGCAGCAATGGCCGTCCTCTCCTATCTGTCAGCACAGTGCCCTCGTCTTTCTAGATCACATCTCCTCACCCTCCTCCTCTTCTCTCCCTATCTTCCCCTATCTCCCTACATCTCCCTTTGCCAGCGATAAAAAAAAAAGAAAAACAAACAGGGCGAAATCTTCTCTGTCTTGTCTTCTTCCGCTGCTGCTGTGTTTACATCAGTGTTTCTGCCCTGGAAGCTAAATCTATACATAAGAAAAGAAAAAAAAAAAAAAAAAAAGAAAAAAACCTCCACATGCCTCATTAAAATCTAACAGTGGCCCACTGAGAAGATACAATGAGGGCACAATGCTCTATTAATCCACATCCACTGAAGTCCACTCAAGACATATTTTTCAACTCAACCATCACCGGGCAATTACAGGGCAAATTGCTACATTTAGCTGTTAATTTTAACCTATAATACTTTGATTCAAAACCGTGATTTGCTTTATATTCAAAGAGCTGCACTCACTTTTCTTTTTTTTTTTTTTATATATAAATTTTTGTGTCTGACATCAAAATGCTGTGAAAAGTTTGATCAGTGCAAATTAAAGCAAACAGCCCTGTGTTCTAGTTGTATTCCTTCCATGTCGCTGTGCTATATATTTAAACGGCATAATTTCTACATGACCAACTTTCATACCGTTACTCACAGCAGATCAAACCTGGGGTTATTTGGTGAGTCCCAGAGGCCTTGAAAACATGTTTGTATCTCTTCCTTGCTTGTGTATTTGCAGCGATAGTCTCTGAGGCAAAAACACTGATGTCAGCCCTGCGGTATGCCAGCCTAATCCACTGCTCCTACTCCGGCTCCAGCTCCAGCCCCCTGCTCTGTGTGTCAGGGACAAACCGCTGCCTTCTGGGCCCTCCAGAGAGCACAACAGCACTAACAATGACGCTTTCGTACCCCTCTACCTGCATGCTGGTCCTCAGACTTCAAAGCAAAGAGCCCCAAAAGCAAAGCTAACCGTGCTCTGTTTGCATTTATCTCCCAGTATCTGTGACCGTCAGGCAGATAGGGGTGTGTGTAGCTGCTGTAATAGGCCCATTGTGCTGTGCCTCGGGTCCTAGTCTTATCTTCATTACCCGTTTTATAAACAAACAAATAAACGGAGACACATTTCTGGTGAGGATGAAGGAAGTTTCTGTGTTTTTATCTTTGCAGATTACTTTGTTGTATATGTATGCCTTGAAACAAATGTTAGGAGGGAACAGACTCCATTAGCCTGGGCCATTTTATAAAATAGTCTTCCACAAAAACATTTTTTTTTTTTTTTTTTTCCAGTAAGAAATCTAACGTGAGAGAAACAACACGTAGCCATGCTGTCTTGTCTTCGGAGCCTTAAGGGCTTTTAGGGTTTAGTCAGACTCACAGTTTCCACTGGTAGATTGTGACAGGGGGGTTGGCATCGGCCCTGCAGGTCAGCTGAACATTCTGACGGTTCAAATACCAGTTCCCATCAAAGCCCTCGATCTTCACGTCAGGTTCATCTGCAAGGAAGGCACGAAGACGTCAGCTCATCCCTCCACAACATCACACAAGAAACATTGTTTTATCATTGTACCTCTGCTGAAGCGTATCAATAATCCGGCAGTGAGATCATTAGAGAACAGTGATGCTCTAAGAACAACAGATCCATTCATTACTCTTGTAAGGCAGTGAAATCATCCTGATTATAATGTGTGTCCTTTAGCTATGTGCGTATATCATCCAAAACTGTAAAATGTTAAACTGTTGCGTTTTCAAAATCCCATCCTTTGTTGTAAAAAGTTCAAATTAACTCGACTCATGGAATAACAGCTGGGTGAGGTGTTGATCAGCTCCGTTTATTTGAACAACAGCTGAAAACATCGGAGCCGTTTCCTCACACCTTTAACCATTTGAGCTGTGCTGCTATTTTACACTCAAGCTGATGATTCAAAATACAAAGTAAGTAAAGTGTAATTTGATGCACACCTGTAAGACAGATGTGGAAGGGAAGTAGTGAAATTCTGCAGTGTCAGCACAAAGTTGATTAAAAAGTTCCTCTGAATAAATGTATATATTTTTAAAGTTTTGGATTTTAGTGGTTTTATCTTGAGTAATTAACATAAAATCTATTTTTTTTTTTTTTTGGGGGGGGGGGGGTCATTTTAAAAATACAATTTACTTAGAGGAAGTCTGGTGCATACTACATAAGCTTATTTGTGTATATTTCTCTTCACTTGCTGTAACTGGAGGGTTTCTGAGCTGTGTTTACAAAAGGACCTTGTTTACTGTAAACTATGCTGATCCGTGTCCTCTTGCAACTGGACACACAACTTTTGAGTGCATGACATCACAAAGTAGCAGATTAAAACAGGTTTGAATCCATCAGCTCTGAACAATACAAGGCTGGAAACCATCATATAAACGGAATTAGCATTAGCATTAGAGTTTTAGGAAAACAGGTTCTTACACTGCACATTGAGCACCACGCTGTCCGTGATCTTCTCATTTCGGTACGTCACGATACACGTGAGCCTCTGTTTGTGGGTCTCGCGGCTGGGCACCACCACGTAGTTGCTCCGTACCGTCACCGTCCCATTTTGGTTGCGGGTCTCCTGGAAAGTGGCTTCGCCCTTCAACCTGGTGTCCCATTTGATCACACTCGGGGGCTTGCCATTGGCCGATACACAAGTGGCGACGGTCATCTTGCGTTTCTGAGGCCTGGCCACAATCGTGGGCGTCGTCAAGGTCATACGTGTCATGGGCCGAGCTGCAGAGGAGAAAAGCAATCAAATTAGCGAAATGAAATTAAAACTCATTAAACAAAGATTTTGCCATTTTTGCTTTCAGTTTCAATCTTACTTTAATGTCTAATTTTGTCTACTTCATCCACAACCAGCCTTAGATTTGATGAAAACCGCCATTTGAAGTAAATTAAACTGCGAGGCTGAGATGAAAACGGTGTTGTAACTCAAATCAGGCGAAGTTTTGCTTCTTTCCGCCCTCAAAGCCAAAGCAGTTGTCAAAGCTCTCACAGATGTAGAAGCCACTTGCCTACCCAAATGCACAGTCATCCAATTTGAATCCTTTGTGAGTTGCCAATTAGCAATCTACTTTTAGTACATCAAAAGGCAGGCTTGAGCTTGAGCGAATGCACAACTGAAAGAGATAGGCCATGAGGAGGCTTCTTTGAACGCTGCCAGTCAGTTATCTGCACACAGGTTCCTGACGTTCACTGAGCCGCAGAAGCCTAAAAAGACCTGAGAGGCTCAGTGACACAAAATGGGGACTCAGAGCTAACAAGAAGCTCTTGTTAGGCAACAGGGACTACTTAAGCCAAGAGCTTTTTCTTTACTGGGACTTAATGGAAAACACACCAACACTTAATTTTGAATTAGATCTTTAATCAGAGTCAGCGCACAACCTTTTCAAAGCTGCCTCTCTCCAAGATAAACTACATCTCAGGCCCTGCTTTTTTTTCTCCACAAGATGAGATTATTCAAGCCGAATTACACACTCTGAAGTGGCCTTATTGATTTTCGTCTAACCTGCCATTTTTATTGACTGCTCTCTGCGGCGGTTTCCTATTTTATAAAAGCCATATGGGGCAAACTGGGATTGGTGTTAAACGACACGTCACTCCAATCATCACATCATGAATCCGTCACAATGATTTTCATCTCAGCGCCGAGCATGTACACTCTACGAACGAGACCCTTGTAGACTCAACCAAAATATGGCAGTCAGAGAGCTTCAGAAAACAGAGACAGATCTTCTGTTCTGAAGGAATTTAACCTATTTTACAACAAAGCCTGTGGCAATGTAACATTGAAGTGTTTTCTTTTAGTCTCTAAAAAGGAAGATGTCAGTTTGACCCTGCTATCTGATTCTGAAAAATGTTCTTTTTCTGCCTAAAGTCAAAGAGAAACAACATTAGAGTGACAGGTTTAACATCCTCAGACTGCTCATCAGGGCAGTGGTAACATGTTTGAGAAAATTGCTCCTTAACTCATTTTAAGATGTAGCTCCTGATATTTTTTTCTGTTATCTTGGCTTAAAACATAATTACACATTCATGATTCACTGCAACAATCTTATCTGTACAATCCATCTTTCTTCTAAAACGTGCAGAAACTTAACTTAAAACAACCAATTACTGACCGGGGCGTATAACCCTGGGCTCCAAAGTCATCAGATTGTGGCTCTGACTGTAGATGCTTTTCTGATATTACACAGTGATCCTATTTCTTTCCATCTCCGTCCAGTGAAAATCATGTATCTCCAGATTTGGTGGTTTTAAATTTTTTAGACGAACTGAAGGATTACAGTTTTCCTCACTGGACTGAGAAAATTCTACTTCTTCTTCAGCCAAATACAATAATGTAAAATCCCAGTGAATTATGGGGAAAATGCATCATCACAAAGCTAAAAAGAGGACTCGCAATTTGTTGGCAAACAACACCTTGGCAATATAGACTTCATCAATAAAAGTTGCTGAAAATGTTGGTGCGACTTGTAAGGGGTCAAGCTTTTAAAGATAGTAACTTAAATTAAAGAAGCAAAAATGTCTTGTTTGGGCCAAAAACACATTGAAAACCTATGCTGAGTGTCCAACTACCGCCTCCATGGAGATAAATCAGGCCGGGATAAAGGAGAAAACAAATTCTATGACAAAAAAAAAAAAGAAGAACTAAAGTTAAATTGCTAACATTCAGAACTCCACAGAGGACCAATGTTCTGACTAAAACACAAGATATTGCCAGTTTTATCATTCAAATTGCAGCTGTTGTAGATTTAATCCTACAGTAAAGTCAGTAGTAATCTCCAAAATTTTAACATTTCACTATTTCTCTATGAATTCTTACCAAATACAGTGAGGTTGACCATGTTCTCCCGGTTGCCCGCAGGAAATGTGGTATACTCGCAGATGTAGGCAGCTTCGTCAGACAGCTGCAGGTTAGAGAACACGATGGTGGTGTCCTCCAGCGAGGGCGTGCGATGACGAACCGCAGCCTGCTTGAAGCTGACCCGCTCCTTGAAGGGCTGCAGGACTGACACGCCGAGGGCCGGGTTGGCTATGGCCACGTTCTGTTTGGTGCCGTTGAGCAGCTTCTGCCAGGTGACTTGAGAGATCTTGACTGGCGGGTTACTGTTGATGAAAATGCAGCGCAGCTCCACTTGCGAACCCACAAAGCCAGACTTACTGGGGTCCATCTGTACCATCTGTCCGTTGCCAGCTAGAAGTAACACAGAGAGGAAAGAAAAAAAAAAAATGTAATTACGATTAACAGGTGTCCAAGGCCAAGCAAAGCACTTCATTCAATAGCAAGTACATGCACTGAAAGTCAAGGAGTCAATTCGGCCTCCTAGGTAGTACATGCACACATGACACTCAGAGGGAAACTCATGGATTCCGCCACGCACTCCCCATATGCTACCGGAAGCGCCGTCTGCTCCCTATACATCAGCGTAAAAAGTCGGTACGCGGCGGTGGTTGTGTGCAAAAATGCTGGGGGGAGTTGTTATTAACATAATGGGCACATCTATACAACGCTGTCTTTGTCCACGAGGGTGCTGTTTCTGATGAGATGGGAGGGCTGAGCGAGAACCAATGCATCACTAATGAATGGGTACAAGGGCAATGAGTTGGAGCCAAGTCATCGTCTGCTGTGCTCACCCTCCACCTACCCAGCAACACACTGGCTAGGCCCATTGTAATTTTAATTACTTTTTACTCACAAATACTTCAATGACTGCCTGGAGCTCCTATTAAAAGAAACAATGTGGAGTCCTGTGTAGGCACTCAAAACAATGAGAACACACACATTAGCTATATAAAAAAAAAACGCAAGTAATTATGCCCTTCTCCTTACTATCTAAGCATATGAGGAGTTTGATAGTAGAAAAAAAAAAAAAGTCAATTAGCAAAGATGGACCTTCTGTAAACTCGCCTGTGGTTTAGTCTTTCATGCTTATGTTGACCTAAACTGAAGTGTCAGCTCCCTCCTCTCTCAGGCTCATCTGCTTTTTACTCGATGCCTGGTATGGCCACTGATTAACAGTTGACATCCTTGAATTAGACACTCATTAGACCACCTGCTTTTTATCTAGAACTGAAACAGTTCGCTGATCGACAGAAAATGAACTAATATGAGATAAATATGAGAAACATTCAATAGTTCCAGCTTCTCAAACTCGAGGATTTTCTCTGTTTTAGATCATTGTCAACTGAATACCTCAAGCAGTTCTTGTCGGACAGACAAAACAAACACTGAAGTTTTAACCTTGTTACCGTGAAACTGAGACGAGCATTTTGCACTATTTTCTGACATTTTACCAACTAAATAATACAAAAAGTTTGAAGATTCATCCATATAAAATAATCATTGCAGCTCTTCTTTTATCAACAACACTTCCTCCTCACGTCCTTCAATCTGAGTCTTAAATGCAGAAAAACATCTAGAACCTTCATTTACACCTGATCTGGGGTCTGAAATGACTGCAGTCTGAACAGATGTGTCATTAAACTACAGCAGGGCTCCTGCATCCTGTTGTCTTTGACACATCTTTGTTATCTCAGGCTCTGATTTATGTTCCTTTCCAGGTGAAGCCTGATGATGTCCCATTTCCTCGTCCGACAACCCCTGGCTGGGCTCGTATTTACAACCAGCCGCAGCTATAATTATCTCCTGCGGATAGGTGAGGACCCACAGGAAGAAGGACTGAAATTCTTCCGTTAATCACACCGGACTCATAAAGCCACCAGTGAATCAAGTCATAAACAGAGAGGAAATATGTTGTGGCCTCAAGTGGAGGACTGGGGCCCGGTACACATGCACCACAAACAGAGCAGCTCTTTAACACTGAGTAACTGCATCACAATGATGAATAATCCCTGTGTTCAGAGATAAAGTTTCCACAGGGGGTTTTAAAATGTGTAAGAATACATGAGAGGGATCCATTTATGTATACCCCCACTGAATACAATATCTCATGTAGTCTATCTTCAACGATACAGGAATCTGAAGAAGAGAGGAGAGGAGCTCTGTGCATGCAGCTGTCAAACTGTCTAAGCAGCAACAGCAGCAGCAGCAGCAGCAGAGACTGTTCTGAAATTTCTTCTTATAAACTGTAGGTAGTCAGCCGAAGGACACCGGGGCACAATACATGCATGAAAAAAGGAAATAGTTGGTGCAGGCTGTGGCTCTAGAAGACCATTAAGATGAACAATTTATTTCTTTCCGTCTTTCACAGTAGGCGCACAACTCTCAGGTTGAATGGCTTATGCTGGAAAGCAGTGCATTACGAGAGAAAGACAATTTCTTTCCATTGTTATATGCTCTCATTCAAGTACAGCCTGTGCTGTCTACATGAAATCATATGAAAAAACAAAGTGACAACCTTTTGCAGTTACTGAGTACACATCATCTTTCATTTCCTTCTGACCACATCAGCAAGAACCCTCTCTATAGAGATTTAAACTTGAGGGATTCGAAGATGACAGATTGATTTACTAATACAGTTTGACAGGGAGGACTAGCAACCTTGTCATCTGTACCCTGAGAAACACCTGTGTCCTTGTGCACCTCAAGGCAATTCTTTACTCCATTTTATCACAGCTTAGATTGTTGGTTGTTGACCAGTTGTGGCAGCTATAGTATGATATTTTTTGAACTAGCAAAACACAATTTACTGTGTGACAACACTAGTTAAAGTTTAATCTTAAGTTGGTGCGAAGCGGGGGGACTGTGTGCTCAGGGGGGCTGTAAAAACTCATAAATATGTACCTGGCCAGACCTCACCCACTCAAATGCTAAAACAATACTGGCAGGGGCTGGCTTTATAAGAGGTTTGCAGCCCCTCCCTCCATCGCTCTGCCCTTCCTCTTTTGATTCCGATGCTCCCCACTCAGATTGAACCAAATAAACAGCAGCTCACGCAAATGGAATCCAGAGGAATAGGCATAATTATGCAGCCACAGAGCCCAAATCCCCTCCGTGAAGGACCAGGGGCACCCACGGGGACCCCTTTCACTCAAGGACTGGAGGAGTCCTTGGCTGAGCACACAGTAAAGCTTTAATTACAGACTACACCACAGAGCAGCAAAGCCATAGAAGAACAGAGCCACATACATACAAGAGGCATTAAGAAGGTAGATTTTGTGAGGGTTATGAGAGCCGGTGGTACAGAAACAGAGGAGGAAAACAGAGGAGGAAAAAAAAAAAAAAAAAGGAAGGCAAAGTAGTGCAGTCGCAGAACTGGCGAGAGGCAGAAGGAGACAAAGAGGAGGGAGGAGCTTTAGGGAGATTTGTAGGTGTGCTGCAGGTTTGAGGTTGGCCAGCGTTGAGGCTTGTGCTGCTGCTGCTGCTGCTTTGTTCTGACACTGACAAGAGGGTGACTGGGGGACAGTCATGCTCTAATACACCTGAGGCCAGACATTGGCTTGAGAGTTGCCAGTGGAGAGAGGAGCCCTGTTTCTGGAGGGAAAAGCAATAGGACCAACAAACAAAGCAGAAAGTATGCCCGAGCTGGCAGAGTATAAAAAAAGAAGAGTGGTCTGATTCACACCAGGTGAGCTGACTTGGATGAAGGGGGACATAAGGGGCGCTATTAAAACAGCTGCTGTACCGTCTGGCCCTGCACTGATAGCAAGAGACTCCCAAGGCCTGTTCACAGAACTGTAATAAGATCTTGCCTGTCAGGCAACAAGAAAAAGCATGTGCTTTGTGATGTTTGCTTATGGCACACTGGACAACGCATGGGGCAAATAACAACCCTCAGTCAAATGGCGATCCCATGGTGTGTAGTTGATATCCAGGAATATACAGAACTGCAGGGCAAATTTTCTTTTTCTTTTTTTTTTTTTACAAAGAATTGTGATCATAAAAGCTGACAAGTGAAAGTGTTTAAACCGATCGCAAATTTTGTTACCTAGATGGGAAAACAAATGTGAATATAAAAAATGAATGAGAAACATGACATTAACGTTTAATATTTGCTTTTTGCCTCTGCTGCAGAGAGAAAAAAAATCAAATTAAAGTTTCAACATCAAATACACTGCATTAATCCAGCCTTTTGTTCCCAGACATTCTTCCGTACAATATTAAACCAGATCTCTCTCTACATATAAAACAATACCACTACCATAAAAGCCTAAATTGAAAACCAGGGCTCCAACCATAAAACAACTACAATTTGGCAGCTCATCTCGTAATGGATATGTAACACTATTGTCTTTTTTTTTCCAGCTGAACTGGCCAACAACCAACAATATTTCACAAGACAATTATTGGCTTGTTTACCATCACTTGGGCCATTCTCATCCAAGAAATATCCATTTGAGCCTGAGTCAAATAAAGTTCAGCATAATTCACCTCTCGCTTCAGCGATGTGAAGAAGGCAAAGATTAAATAGGACTGAATGCATATTTTAGAAGAGGCACTCATTAATGTCTTCTATTTAAAGCGGCACCAGGCTACTTGGCGCACTGTCAGTCCCAAACGGCAGCTCGACATCACTGTTTGAAGTCTGAAGACTTCAAAACCCAGAAAATGTGTAATGTGATGTCATTAAACTGTACTCTTCTTGGACCTAAATGTCGTCTTCTCTGTGGCTTTTCGGGGGTGGAGATGAAGAAGAGCTTCCATTTTCACTGGACCGAAACGCTCACTTGTCACTTCCCGTAAAAAAGGGAAGATTTCATGATTCTGTCCAATCCCAACATTAAAATTCAATTTAGGGAAATAGGTCAAACCTGAAACTCAGTTTTGTAGAGATGCAACAGTCTGGTTTGCATCCACTTTGTGAGGCAGGCAGCTGAAATGGGAGTTTACTTGGGTGTAAACTTCTTGCCAAATGCAGCTTTGAAGCTTATCAAACGAAGACACATCATCTCCTCATGTTTGATATGGTTACTCCATTGTTACTTAAGTGGGATGCTGATAGATAAAACATGGATTCAACCACTCGGGATAATGACTGTTTAATGTAGTCCCAGTTCCCACGGCAATGGCACAGGCCTCTGAGCTCCCTTATTCATGACCACACATGGGGTGTTTAGGGGGAGTCCAAATCTTCTGTTTTACACACACACACACACACACACACACACACACACACACACACACACACACACACACACACACACACACACACACACACACACACACACAACCCACCCATTAGTTTTTTTATGATGCTTTTGTCATTCAGTATTTTAGAGCTCAACCAGTGGCAT